AATTTGTGTCAGATCACCCTCGCATTAGAGTAATTGCAGTACTATAAAATACTGTATAGCGGGAAATTTTTGAGGATAACAAATTTCATGAATTTTGCGGATTTTTTCATGATTCACGAATTTAAATACCTTGAAAATCAATTTAATACGGTACAAGATGGCAGATTAGTGGAAATTCACGAAAATTAATTCCGCAAACTTCCGGATATGGGTCATTCGCGAAATTTATTATCCTCGAAAAAACCCGCTGTACGGTACATACACATGTACATAATGTTTTTATGTACATGTTCATGTAGACTAGTCAGTAGTATACACATGAGCAGTAGTGCACGTGAATGTTCATGTGTGGTTCATGTGAGGCCAATAGTTGTAGTAATTGAAGTAACTATTTTAGTAATTCTACACTATCATAACTTATGAATATCCTTAAAGGACATCAGTAAGGTCATCAGGGCTGTCTTTGTTTGCTTGTTCTGCTGCTGCTGTACTTTGTTTTGTTGTCTTGTTCATTTAGATTTTGTATCGTTTGATCTTGTTCTATCTTCATTACTGTATTTCTCTCTTTTTTGCTCTGTGCGACTCTTGATTTTCTTGTAATGGCTACCACCAAACCACCTTCATCTTCTTCTCCTGAGCTTAGGCACAAAATGGAGGAACAGCTCACCTGTCCTGTGTGTCTTGATGACTATACCAACCCTAAGACTTTACCTTGTCTACATTCATTCTGTCAGGAATGCCTGGAGAGATTACCACTGGATAAGAAGAATGAGACCTATTACCTCTCTTGTCCGAATTGTCGTCAACATGCAGAGCTACCAAAAGATGGAGTTGGAGCCTTTCCTGTAGCATTCCACCTCAACAACCTCAAAGAGATGCAAGGTTTACTGAACAACAGGTCGTCAAAAGTACATATACCTGCATTTAATCCTCCAGAGGTCACATGTGACGATCATGGAAAGTCTTTGGAGCTATTCTGTGAAACATGTGATACAGGAATTTGTGTTACCTGTCAATTCGGTGATCACAAACATCATAAATACGAATTGATCACTGAAAAGTATGATCAACACTGTGAAAAGTTAAAAGAATGTCTATTACCAGTTGAGAGAAGGAAGGCAGCACTTAAAAAGATCTTGTCTGCTATAACAGAGAGAGAGGGCGAGATCAGAGAGAGAGGAGAAGGAGTTTTGGCAGAAATACACGGAATGGTAGAGGACATGATAAATGTTCTTCGTCGGTCAGAGAGGAAATTGACTGAGCAAGCAAAGAGGGTCATTGATTCTAGGCTAAAGGTGCTGTCAGAGCAAAAGGAATCAACAAAAAAGAGTTTGAAATTAGTGGAGGATGTTACAACTTATGTGGAACAGAGTCTGAAAACAGGCAGTCCTCAACAAGTCCTGGGGTCTAAGAAGCAGATGATGGAGCGTATGAGCAATGTCACTTTACCAATCAATTGGGAAGAGTTATATCCAGTAGAAAAAGCTGACTTTGAATTGAGCAAAGATATCAAATCGCTGCGTCACATTGGAGATATTGTGACCCACTCTTCCACTGCACTACAGCAGTGTAGGGTGAAGAAGGTGGATCGTATTACTCCCTCCGACAAAACGCTTTCGTTTTCACTATCAATGGAGGCACCAGATTCATCTCTTTAGTCTGTTCCCCTCTCTTCTGTTAGGTGTAGTCTAGTACCAGTTGGTAAAGGTGATCAACCCATTCACACTACAGTCACTACCACCAGCACTAATCCTGGAGTGTATAGGATACAGTGTAACCCTTCAACCACTGGCACTCACACAGTAAAAGTACAAGTATATGATGTACATCTTAAGGATACCTCACTAGTCATCTCAATCAGTCCTCACATTGATAACATCTCTTCAGTACATGTCATAGATGATGTGAAGGGTCCCTTGGGTGTTGCTATAACTGAGGATAATCGTGTTATAATAACTGAGCGTGATGGTCACTGTGTAACAATACTCGATAAAAGGGGAAAGAAAGTGAAATCATTAGGTGGGGAAGGAGGAAGAGGTAACGTCAAGTTTTCTTATCTTCATTGCTTGGCGATTACTCCAGACAGATTCATACTTGTGTCTGATAGTAATAGTATCCAGAAGATAAGCATGGATGGACAGCTTATAAAGTCAGTTGGGGAGTGGGGCAGTGGACCACTACAATTCAATGATCCTTATGGTATAGCCATTTCTCCTACAACAGGACAGGTTTATATTGCTGATGTAAATAATCACACGTATACAAGTCTTGAATCCTGATCTAACCTTCTCTCATTCGTTTGGCAGTAAAGGATCCG